GGGGGGGGGGGGGGGTTACAACATGATGGCACAGAGACAAGAAGAAATCAAAACAGAGTCTGACTATTATGGGCTTTGGTTAGATAAAAGGCGACCCTTCCCTCTTCCAGTTTTCGGGATCTTATGTGTGGAGGTGTTCTTCGCTGTAAAATTCATCTGAATCCTCTCGTTGCCGAGTGGTTGCCCATGAATCCAAACTTATCATCTCTTAGACCTAGGAAGAAGGGGCGATACTAGTTACATCTTTGCTGGATCGGTTGTACTTCATGTGGCTCTTAACGAGCTGTCCCGCCGCAAGAGCAGACATAAGTGAAAGCTCTCCAGCAAGGACAGAACCAGCAACGATTTTTGCCAACTGCCTTGCATTTGAACCAGGCGCCTCTTTGTCAGCACCCTTTACACCGAGCAAGTTCAGACAAGCAGATTGAGATGCAAGTTGTGTACCGCCTCCTACTGTACCAACCTGTAACCAGATCAATCAAACAACTTTTATGAGTTGGTCCAGCGATTTCAGCAGTCATATAACAGTTTCCAAATGCAAAAGGAAATCCAGTTGGCTAATCCAGCAACAAACGTTAAACTAATGGCAGGACAATTCAAGAACATCTGGCAAATTATTCCAAGTCAAAATCTAGATTCAACATTTTGACTAGTGGGTTCCCAGAAAAGCAGCTCATTGATTTCAGGACAAAAAGAATTAGACCTTCAAAACAGCCGCTGCTTATGTTAGATGTAAATTACATCTAACAGTGCCTCACCTCGATGGAAGGCATTGTGACGGAGACGTGAAGGTCCTGGCCGTCATTCACAGCTTCCATCATGGTGATGCAGTGAGAACTCTCCACATTTTGAGCAGGGTCTTGGCCGGTGGCTATGTAGACGGCGGTTACAATATTGCTGGCATGAGCATTGAAACCACCAAGAGCTCCGGCCATGGCTGATCCGGTAAGGTTCTTGAGCATGTTAAGCTCCACAAGAGCCTCGACACTCGTCTTCAACACCTTCTTCACGATCTCTCCCTTAATCACAGCTTCACACACAACGGACTTACCACGGCCCTCGATCCAGTTGACAGCCGCAGGCTTCTTGTCCGAACAGTAGTTTCCTGAACACCGCCAGGATCCAAGATCTTGTTAAAAGAGTTGACTTTGATTCAGAAATCGGAGAAAATAAAAGAGAGAACAACAGATGGATACCAGAGATGCCTATAACATCCATATCAGGGAACTCGTTTTGGAGGAAATCCAAGACATTCTGTACACCTTTGGACACCATGTTCATCCCCATCGCATCACCAGTACTGCATGAGAATCTCATATACAGATTCTTCCCTGCAATGGCACATTTGATGTTTTGAAGCCTGGCGAATCTACTCGATCTATAAAAGGGGGAAAAAAGAGTTAGGGAGAGAAACGGGTTATAAGCATCACTATCTCAAAAAGAAAGCTTTTTGAATGGCAACAAAAGCATGAGACTATAGCTTTACTTGTTAAAGATGATGGACAAAGTCTCGAAATTGGCGGGATCCTCCACATAAAACTTCAGGAGAGCCGCTCTCATGGCGGAGGGAAACCTCACGACGGGGGCTCTGGTCATGCCGTCCCTGAGGAGGACGCTTATGGCTCCGCCGGACAAGTGGATCGCCTTGCAGCCTCTGTTCGTGCTCGCGACCAAACAGCCCTCCGTCGTCGCCATCGGCACCGAATATTCCCTCCCGTCGAGTAACAGTGGACCGGCGATACCAACCGGAATCTGGACATAACCCACCGGCATCTCGCAGCACTGCCCTAAAATTGACTCGTAATCGAATCCGTCCAATGGAAGACCGATTAGGGATTTGCCGGTGGTCCTCTGCAACGCCTCTCGCCGGATCGCCGCCGCACGCTTGCAGTCTCCGAGCTTCGTCTCTTTCCTCAGAGGACGCTTATGGCTCCGCCGGACAAGGGGATCGCCTTGCAGCCTCTGTTCGTGCTCGCGACCAAACAGCCCTCCGTCGTCGCCATCGGCACCGAATATTCCCTCCCGTCGAGTAACAGTGGACCGGCGATACCAACCGGAATCTGGACATAACCCACCGGCATCTCGCAGCACTGCCCTAAAATTGACTCGTAATCGAATCCGTCCAATGGAAGACCGATTAGGGATTTGCCGGTGGTCCTCTGCAACGCCTCTCGCCGGATCGCCGCCGCACGCTTGCAGTCTCCGAGCTTCGTCTCTAATGAGTAGGAAGGGATCGTGCCCTCCACAACTGATTTGACGATCGCTTCGTCTTCCTCGGAATCTAGCCTCATTGGGACAAGCGGATCGATTGATTTAGGTTTAACAGGAAGAACAGGAGGGATCGAACAATCAAGGGACTGCCCACACGGTATCTTCCGCGAATCTTCCTTGAGAACAAGCCGATCCACGTCTTCGGAGGCCCATACATCATCTTCGGAGGAAGGCCGGAAGATGAGAGACTGAACAAAGCCGACGCCGAAGAAACCTAGGAGGTAAATGAAGGAAGCGACAAAGGCGATGATGGCGAGGATCTCGGAGAAGTCAACAACGTGGAGAGGCGTTGACCGGCGGATCTTCTCACGCCACCGGCTGAGGAGGAAGTAAACGACGGCGAAGAAGAGCGTGAGGAAAATAGTGTTGGTGAGGTACAACGGGAGGGGAAGCGCGTCAGAGGCCTTGGGAGGCGAACCAACGTCGCCGGCAACATGGTCGCCGTGGACGGAGGCTTTGGAATGATTTCTCCGGCGGACATCCATCGTCGGCGACGGAGGGATTCCCGGCGAGGGAGACAGAGGCGAAAGGAACCGGAGGTTGTAAAGGAGAGAGAATCGGGGAGATCTCGAGTTCCGAATTCGCAATGTCTATTATTGGGGGAGATGTGTATATATAGGGCTTGACATGTACACGTGGACTTTGAAATTACCGGCCTCGTTGGTTTCCATGTGATGGTTCAATTTTCTTTTCCTTTTTTTTCCATGAGAGGTACAATTATGTTTATGTCTAAAAATGTCGGAATTTTTTTTTTAGGAAATTACAGTCGGACCTTTCACAAACATTCAAGTAACAAAAAATTCAATTGCTTTGCATCCGAATATATATAAATTTTAGATTTTTTTTAAATAAAACAGACATAAAATTAACATAGCCATGTAGAGTAGCGGTCGCAACAGGCCCCGGCATTACCATTACCACTAATCCGGATTTTCAAATTTAGATTGTATAAAAATTAAAAAGTTTTTTTTTCCTCCTAAATTCAATACTATCCAATCATCTTTATCGGTTATTCTGGTTAGCTTTGATAAATAATTTAAATAATGTTAATATATATATATATACATATATTGTAGCAATCAATATTCCGGATTATTAAAAAAAAACCAATATTAAAATTGGAAGCCAGAGAGCATCTTGAAAAGGACCTTTTGTGCGTGTAACATGTTTTTTCTCAAATTTTTGTTTTCTTGTATAGAATTTTGTTTAAAATGCTATCTGTAGATATAAAAATAAAACCATTTTTGTTAGATTTATTTTTAATATTTACAATAAGTGATTAGAAAATCAAAAAATAATCGATTATGTATTTAATTTTATAATAAGTGATTAGAAAATCCAAAAATAATTCGATTGTGTATTTAAATTTTGCATATGATTGAAGATTGAACTCGAAAATTCTGGATTAAAGCCGAGAGAAAAGACGTGGGAAGTTAATACCCTTGACCTGCCACTTTGCTGTGTAATAAATACAATATAGTTATCCGTTGAAGGAAACAAATTAGAGCATAATTAAAACATAAATAATAAAAAATATATATGATATATGCGTAGAGATGATATATCATACAACTGCACGAGCTTAAGCACAAATAATTGTATTACTGTTCACAAATACATTTTTACGATCCAAAATTGGACGACTCAGCCTGGTTAGAAAGAAGTTCTGAATCTTTATTTTAAAAAATATATTCACACAAATTTTTCTGATATTCTGTATGAGATATAATTGAACCAAAAGTTTGGTGAATTTGCGAATTATAAAAATAAATATGTTTTTTTATGCTAAATAATATTTTACATTAATCACATAAGCATACATGATTTCATATATGGTTTCAACGATAAAAAGTAGAAATTCTGACTCTTAAAACTTCTAATATGGTAGTATGAAAATATTTTCGTAAAACATGAAAAAACATGAAAATCAATTTATTTAATGTGAAAATTTTATTTAACAATTCATTTTTATTTTTTAAAATAATCCATTTTAATCCTGATTTTGATTAGACAAATATTATTATAGTTACCTGAAATAAAAGAAAATAAAAATACATGAAAAATGGAATAAAATATGTAAAAGACGAAGAAAATCGTGAGAAGAGGGAAATTTTTTTTAAGAAATTGTAAATAAATATATTTTCCAAGAAAATTAAAGTATTTTGAATAATACGTACTAAAAAAATAAAATTTTGATATTGATTGAAAAATTCGAAAAAAACTCTAAATATAATTCGTAAAATATTTGTATATATATATATATATATTTAAGATGTGCAATAATAGACGTTGGTTTGGGTGTCTTATGTCGGTCAGTGTCTTTTTCTCCTGTATTTTTTTAGTTTTCCTGTCTTGAATATTAATAATCAAGAACCATGCTGCTTATATTTTTATTCAATTTTTCTATCATTTCGCACGCTGGTAAATATTTTAATTGCAATCGCTTTAAATTTATAGAAATATAAACAAACTAATTATCATTGCGTTTTTAAAATACGTCAAGCAAAATAGATGAATCGATTCGTAAATTAATAATAGTCTATCCATATTAATCATGGATATAGAATAATATGAGATTAGAAATCATCGAAGAAATAACACGAAAAGACGAGATAAATGGTTGAAGGTTGGATTAAATATAAATATAAGATTCCGTGTTACAAATTGATTTGTTAAAAGCCTTTTGCATGGACTCGTTTTTAACACGACGAATACAAATAATACGACAAAAAAGCCTACGTGTTCAAAATCATTCAATACTCTGTATGTGTATATATATATATATATGTATAATGGATAGTCAAATGGACCGTATCTGTCACGATCTTTTCATTTACGGATGATAGCAGTACTCGTGAAAAGAGTTCGTTAAAGAAAAGGCGTTTTTATTGAATTGAATATAATAAAAATATTAAAAGGCACTGTCACAGAATGTATTTTGATCTTTTTGGTTTAGAGGCGGTTCGGTACATCTGCATTTCTGGCCGGTTTGGTTCTCGGTTCACTTGGTTTGATTTTTTTTTTATAGCAATAATGCAGTTTGTTTGTTTTTAATTCAAATTCGCATTTTATCGCCTTGTTTTTGTTGTACATAAATACCATTCGCTACAAAGTTTAAATATATAATAATATTTTATTCCATTTTATCGCTTTATCGACTCCCGCTATTTTTCTCATTAATTTATAATCTTGATCTCTGGCTCAAAGCGACGCCGTTTTAAACATGGGCCGTAAGTAAGCCCAATATCTAAGTTATCTTTTTGTGTTTAGCCCAATAACCTCTTCTCAGTCAGCCCAATCAATTATTCTCTAATCTCTCTCTCTAATTGTAGAGAGAGCATTTTTTTTCCCCGTGTGATTGAAGACAAAAAAAGTTCAAAAGAGAGAAAACAAAGCAAACCAAAGGTCGTGAATTACTCGCTGTGTTCACGCAAGCTCCATGGGGAAGAATCGGAATCGGGCATCATCTCGCCGCCGGTGATGCGCCGTATTTCGACGCCGGAGGACAGATTGCATCAGTTTTCGGAGAGATTTGTGCGAAGCAGGAGGAGGTTTGTCGCAGTCTTTATTTTTCCCGGAGGCGATGTCGCTGAGGATTAAAGCGGTGGTGGATAAGTTCGTGGAGGAGCTGAAGGAAGCTCTCGACGCCGATATTCAGGATCGAATCATGAAGGAGAGGGAGATGCAGAGTTACATCGAGGAGCGTGAGCGCGAAGTCGCCGAGAGAGAAGCCGCCTGGAAAGCCGAGCTCTCCCGACGCGAGGTACGATTGAGTTTCAGATTCGATTATCAGCTCGGAGTTTGGGAAACTGGGATGATTGGTCAGATTACGTGGTGTGTTTGGGATTTTCCAGGCTGAGATTGCGAGACAGGAGGCGAGGTTGAAGATGGAGAGGGAGAACCTCGAGAAGGAGAAGAGTGTTCTCATGGGAACGGCGTCGAATCAGGACAATCAAGATGGAGCTCTGGAAATCACTGTGAGTGGTGAGAAGTATCGGTGCCTTAGGTTCTCCAAGGCTAAGAAATGAAGCTTTAGGGGCGTAACCATAAAACAGTTTTTCACATTTCCTTCTCCACATTGGGAACTTACCGATGAAAAGAACAATTTAAGCTCGTATTCGTTATGCCTTGTCTCTATGATGTGATTCAATGGAAGAAAAAGTATGTTCCTTTTTTCCGAAAAACCGAGTTCTTGTGAGTGTTCATGATGTTTGTAGTTTGTTGTCTTCTTTGTTTGATCAAACGAGGAATGCTGTTTCGTATGCAGAACTTTGAAGGTTTTAGATAGTAATGCAATGAAAATGGATCACGTCAACTGCTATTCTGAATTGTTTAGTTAGAAGGGCATAGATGTTTGCCGGAGAAAACATATGCAATTTTCCGCAGGTTGTCCAAAGGTTTTCCTGATAGGTTTCACGCAAGCGTGAATGGACACCTGTGTGATGATAGAGCCAACCGAGGTACTGGAAATGGCTCTGGATGTTTGTAAGAGCAATGGTTTGTGAGTGAGATGAGAAAGACAATGAAGTAGTAGTCAATGAAGCAAATCAATAGCCCTTGAAGTAAACTCCCAGAGTAAATCCTGTTCAGAAGCCGTTGAGGTGTTATGGTATGGCCTTTGCAATATGTGTCGAATTGTATTGGAGATTCCCAGGGACTGTAAGTTTTCCACACTATCACAGTTTTCTGCCGTATCTCGGGCTTCTTTTAGTTTTGCCATTGTGCCCTAATTTCACAGCTTCTTTCATGTTTCGGAGCAGTGCATTTCTTCAAAGGATAGGCTTCAGTAAAGATCAAGTTTTTCCACGTGACTCGAGTGAAGCAGATGATCTAGCAAATCCAAAGGTAAAAGAATAATCACCGATGAGCTCCCAAGTTCAACTTTCATATTCAATTCTTGGTGCTTGAGATTATCGCATCGCATACAACCAGACCATGGAATACCCCGGTAGCTGTTGCAAGCTTCAGGTCATGGATAAGGTAATGCCAGTATGCAGTCAACATTTGTTGCGGTAACTGATGAATGGCATTTCGAAATGATGGGCATAACGAATGGCATCGGGATCAAACGTCGGCTAAACTCAATAGTTCCCTTGTAAGAGACTGGAGATTTCAGTTAAACTATCCAAGGATGAAAAGCTCAAGAAAGAGACTTGAAGAACAATAGAAGCAGACATCTTCTTCCTCAACGTTAGAGCTCAAATACTTTATTTGTGTGAGCAAACCCTTTGAAAAACATAACTCTCTTTCTCTTGTATGCCAAACAGTTGTAATTGGTACTTTCCTCAGTTGAGATTCTAGTTGGTGGCTTTAAATCAAAACTGTAGTTTCTATGCATTAAAAAAAATTCTAAATGGTAATAAACAATGTAAGATTATTGCATGAGTAAAAAAAATTAAAATATTTTATGGGGTTGTGTGTTATATGCTTTTTTCCACCTATTCTTCAAATATTCTCCAACATCTAAAATCTACTAATTTTGCGATTAGTGTATTTTATGCTAATTTTTGTAAAACGGAAATCTGCACCAACAAATCCACAGCTAATTTACAGAGAGATTCACATATTAAATATTGAACTTTAACCAAATTTCTAAATTAAATACTCAACTATCTCAGTTCCAAATTAAATACTCAACCATATTTAAACTGACAAATAAAAATCAAACTTTTCAAATTTTAACATATATTTAAGAGATAATTCCCAAAAAAACCCTATAACTTTTTTTCATCGCAATTTAGACTCTATACTTTTTTTATCCAAAAAAACCCTATACTTTTCAAAATTTTAAAAATTATACACATTTATATACACATATTAATTATTATAAACACAAAATTAATTACACATTTATTTTATATATTTATATGTATATATATGTTTTATATATATGTATGATATATGTATTTTTTCCTAAAAATTATTATATATAAGAAACTATTTATTATTTGTATATTGTTTTATATATAAGAAACTATTTTCCAAGAAAATATTTTTATATGTTCAATTGTTTTCCAAGAACATATTTTTATATGTTCAATTGTCCAAAAAAAACATGTTCTTGGAAAACAGTTTCTTATATATAAAACAATATACAAATAATAAATAGTTTCTTATATATATAATGATTTTTAGGAAAAAATATATATATCACACATATATATATAAAACATATATACATACTAATATATAAAATAAATGTATAATTAATTTTGTGGAAAATAAATGTATAATTAATTTTGTGTTTATAATAATTAATTAGTATGTGTATATGAATGTGTATAATTTTTAAAATTTTAAAAAGTATAGGATTTTTTATCCAAAGATTTTTTTGGATAAAAAAAATATAAAGTTTAAATTGCGACGAAAAAAAAGTACAATTTTTTTTTTGATTATCCCTTTGATAAATGTTAAATTTTGAAAAGTTTGATTTTTATTTATAAATTTAAATATAGTTGAGTATTTAATTTGGAAATTTAGTTGAAGTTCAATATGTGACTTTTGAATTCGATTAAGGAACAAAAAAATCAACACCTACAAAAAAATAAAGAAGAATTAAGGAGCTAAAATTGACAAATTGTTGTGGGAATTATACGCCAGCAGCTACAATCCACCAGGGACGGTTGTGACCACAGCTCGTGCCCATTGAAGGAAGAGTTGCGTAGAACACCCGCATCGCCTTCCCGGTCCAAGCCCATAGTTCTTTGTTCGCTCATCGCCATTTTCTTGCGGATCGAAAGGCGAGATTTTGGGGAAGAAATGGAGAGCGATTCGATGATGGTTCCATTCCCGCTGTTGCCGACACCGATCGAATCCAACTACCGGGCTTGCACCATTCCGTACAGATTCCCTTCGGATAACCCCAGAAAGGCTACGCCCACTGAGATCTCCTGGATCGACCTCTTCGCCAATTCCATCCCCTCTTTCAAGTTCATCTCTCTCTCTCTCTTTCGTTCTGGGTTTTGCTTGTTTTGTCAAAGTTGAGATTATGTTGTGACGAGTCGGATAAGGGTGGAAACTTTGTCTGAAAATGGGTGACGTTAACTTCTAGCCTGGATAAGAAGTGCATAAAGTTGATATTTTTGGTTCCATAAGGGCAATTAATGCGTTGGGTACTTGTATGCATTGTTAGAGATGGGGATGCAATTAGTCTGTTTAATATTAAGTTATCATTGATCCGATAGGCACTGCCTGCATTATGTTCTTTCTGCGTTTCTTGAGCTTTGGCTTGGTTCAATGGTGATGATTTTAGATGTATGAAAGAAATTGCAGTTGTTTCTGAGAACTTGTAGTGTGCTTGATGGGATAATATAAGAATGCAGAAAATACTATTTTCTAAAGCTGCTTAGTTTTGCAGGAAACGGGCAGAGAGTGATACTAGTGTTGCGGATGCTCCTGCTAGAGCTGAAAAATTTGCAAAACGGTAAACATTTGTATATTCTGTATGTGTGCTTCTTCATGATTTGTCTTTCCTTAGTTTATTGTAGCTTTCTCTTAACCTGGATCATTCATGTTTTCCATATGGATTGCTTGAAATGTGCATCCTATTAGTAAAAATTGCCCCTTTATTATGTATAGAGATAGGTCTTTCTGTTGAAAGCATCCCTTTGTGCTAATCTCTCACATTGAATCTGGAAGGTATGGTGAGATTCTTGAAGACTTGAAGAAAGACCCAGAGAGCCATGGTGGGCCACCAGATTGTGTTGTAAGTCGAAGCACAAGATTTTTCTCAGCTGTTAACTAAATACCCAAAATGGGCTTCCCTTTTCATGATCTGTTCTGGTTGATTTTCAGCTACTCTGCAGACTTCGTGAGCAAATACTTAGAGAATTGGGATTCCGGGACATATTCAAGAAAGTGAAGGTAAGACTTCAGAACAGGGGTTCTTAAGAAACGTTGTGACTGAAAGCGATTCTCTAATAAGGTTTTAGGTCCTAAAACCTTATTATTCTCTTGTACTCTAACATGAGTTCCTATCATGTGATGACTCATGCAGGATGAGGAGAATGCAAAGGCCATATCACTATTTCCGGAAGTCGTCCGTCTGAGTGATGCTATTGAAGATGAAGGGAAGCGGTTAGAAAACTTGGTTAGAGGAATATTTGCTGGAAATATCTTTGATCTGGGCTCCGCCCAGGTATATTTCTTTCTTTTTGTAGTTGCTTCATTCGATTAGAAAAACATATCTTAATTAACGGATTTCATGTATTCACCTGTTGAAGCTTGCCGAGGTTTTCTCAAGGGATGGAATGTCATTCCTCGCTAGTTGTCAAAACTTGGTTCCCCGACCTTGGGTCATCGATGATTTAGACAGCTTTCAAATAAAATGGAGCAAGAAGACTTGGAAGAAGGTCAGTTCTTCATTTCTTGAACTTTTTTCCCTGTCTTTTGTTTGGTTAACATTGTACTTTCCCGGGAGGTGGCTTCCTTCGACAAGCTGATTCATCTTTGTATTTGTAACAACAGGCAGTAATTTTTGTTGATAACTCTGGTGCTGACATAATTCTGGGCATATTGCCTTTTGCAAGAGAAATGCTCCGTCAAGGAACTCAGGTGATTTTAACTAAACCTTAATGTATTTAGAACCCAGTGTTCTACTTCACCGTAAGAAAACGTATTTTAGTTTTTAATACTCTGTTCTGATATTGATGAACCTGAGAGAGATGAACTCTCTTGTTGCCCCAAGTTCGTTATCAAGAAAGTTGATTTGCGTCGTAAGCTAATTCATTTCGCTTTTAACTTTGGTAATGAAGGTGATTTTGGCCGCTAATGAATTGCCGTCTATCAATGATGTAACATACACAGAGCTTATTGAGATCGTGTCGAAGGTGATTTGAGCAACTCTATTACGTACTGTCCTTTTTCTGTTGATAACTGTAATGACATAGCTTAACTCTGGTTGTGTCTTAATTTACCAGTTGAAGGATGAAAACGGGCAACTAATGGGAGTTGATACCTCGAAGCTCCTGATCGCCAGTTCGGGGAATGATTTGCCTGTAAGAAATCCAAATGCTGACAGACAGATGAGAGTCTTAAGATGGTCTATACTCCTATATATTCATTTATCGAGATTTCTTGCAGGTTATCGATCTTACGAGAGTATCACAAGAACTTGCATATCTTTCAAGTGATGCAGATTTGGTCATCCTCGAGGGCATGGTAAGGCCTAAGAGACATTTGGAAATCAGTGGAATTTTCTTGAAAAGATTCATCTTTTTCTTGTCTTAGAATTATTCGTAACTGATTCATCAACGGGTTGTGACCAGGGACGTGGGATAGAGACAAACCTTTATGCTCGGTTCAAGTGTGATTCCCTCAAGATCGGAATGGTAACGGTTTCACACTGTTAGATCTCTCTTTTGAGCATTCTATGTCTATGGTTATTGATTCTTCTATCATTTGCTCTACTGATTTGGTACATCTTCTTTTTTCAGGTGAAGCATCCAGAGGTTGCACAGTTTCTTGGAGGACGTCTTTATGATTGCGTCTTCAAATACAATGAGGTTCAGAGTTAAAAACTTATATTTCAGAGTCTTCATTCACTCGTATTATTGCATCGGTCATTCAGTGAATCATCATAGGATTTGGTACTTGGAGCCAAAATCTTCTCTTTCGATTCATACCCCGAGAATTTAGAACTCTCTTAAGGGTTCTTCGCTATAAATTGCAAAAGCATCAAACTTTTTCTTTATGAGTACTTGCTACATGTGATGTTGAGCAAAGTAGATGAGATTACTTTGACCATATAATTGAAATGTGGCATTTCATCCATCAATACATCTGATGTCCTTTGAATGAAGTGTATGACATGAACAGAAGAAGTGTAAAGACGTTCAAGAACATCTTTCCTCGTGCTTCTTTTGGAACATCTGAATCTTCTTGTCGTCCTGTAAGTTTCATTACATGTGCTTAGGTTGGTGTTTCTTCATCTGTATTTGAAAAAAAAAAAAGTTAAGCTTTGGTTCAGAGTCATATTTCCTGTTCTTCACAAGCACCTTCTTCCATGAGATAAGGGTAATCGTCTTCTCTGTGGAGGCTACCACCGCTGGAGATTATGTAATTCGAACGCATAGTCCATGAGAACTCCACTGCAGCCATTGTTAAATGTTCTGTCACAGTCCACCAGTTCTTGATCAGACAACTCAGTCAGATTCCCCGTCACGATCTGATTGATCCAAGAGCTTATCAGTGGAAGCCAAATGCCCGGGCTGAGTACCCGGCGATGGAAAAATCATGGGCAGGAGCAAGACAGAGGAGGACAGATATAGAAAGGGCTAAAACAGGGATTTTGGTGAGTGAAGATGTGGAATCCATAGCCATCGAGCTCAAGATAGAAGCCAGAGAAGAGGAGATTGTGGGTGTGAAGAAACAGAGGAGAGGTAAAAGGGTTTATTACATAGAAACGGGGATGAGCTTAAAGTGTTGGCTTTGAAGAAACGACCAAAGGGATTCTTTCAGCCATGGATTTTGCAGCAAGCATGCATTTATCAGTAATATACAGAAAAACACTTTGAAGCAAGAATGCATTGCCACCTCCACAAAGGGATGATGATGAAGGAGATGATGGGCCTGGGCCTCTAAATAATAATAAAAAATGCAAAGAAATAGGCCTTGGCCCATATTGTCTTTTGACTTGACCCGATCAGTTTTCCAGAATGATTTAAGCGGTGGTATTGAATTGCTTATCATGATAAATTCCTTGGTCGGTCTATCTTCTGTTATTTTATTTCAATATTTCATTTTTTTATTATTATTTGTATTGTCAAAAAATAGCTGGATGCTCCTCCCTCAATACGTGTGGTGTGCTATTCATGTAACGTCTGGTATTTACCAAATTATCCACATCTGGTAATGTATGTAAGGAAATAAAAAATAACATATGATGAATAGAGTTCAAATATTATCTATAATTCCCCACTCGAAACAACTGTTAACTGCATTCAAGGAAAAAAAATACAAGTGTTGATAATCTCCCAGGATGTGTATGTTTGTTTACGTACAAATATAAATATACATTTGTATGATTCTATATATATTTGTGCATAAGCTTGATTACCCATATATATATATATATATATATATATATATATTTGTAATTACTAGATTTGCATGTAATTGGCTGTGAAGGAAAGCGAATGGACCCCACACCAACATTCACACACACAGCCGATTAAAACCCAGCCTGTGTTAGAGCTGTGATCATTACCTCCAAACCTCTCTCTCTCTCTCCAACCACATTTCTTCTTCTTCTCCTCTGCAGAAGAAGGTCGAGAGCACAAGACATGAGCTCAGTTATGGAGACTCTCCAGATCCGGAGATTCGCATCCCTCCCGGTCTCGCAACCCTCCTCCGCCGACGCCGGAGATCAGCCGGGGCTCCTCCGCCGTCGCCTCTCGTCTCTCTCCCTGAACCTCTCCCAGCCCGTCGCGGATCGATTCCCCAGATCCAAGTCTGTTTCCGCCATGGGAGAGCAAGCGGGGAGCTCCATAAGAGAGTGGTGGGGTTGGGGATGGGCATGGATCCTCTCCAGGAAACCCATCTTCGTCAGAGATCTGGAGATGGACAAGGACGAAGCTAAGGTACTGGGCTCCCACAACAGGGGGAGTCTCATGCATGTCTTCTTCAAGCTCCGGTCGGAGATCCGCCGCCTCCTCCGCTCCTCAGACGGCGGCGACGCCCTTCCTCTCTCCTGCAAGCACGGAGCTCGGCGATGACGTGGCGATTTCCTCTGTCGGCGCGATCTTCACGGATCGAATCCATTCCCATGTGTGTGTGTGTATTTTTTTCCCCCAAATTCTCTTCGTTTTGCCAATTAACGAGAGTATAATATATTGTTCTTGTTGTTATGTGGGCTATAAATTTCTTAGATTATTATTTATTTATTCGTTTGTTTTTCCTTTTTTGTTACAAAGTTTGTGCAGATGTATTGTAATAACCATCCGATTAAATAGAAAAAAAAATTGGTCCATCTATCTATTTACCTGCCAATTTTCTCATTTTTTATACAATGTAAACATAACTCTACTAAATTCCAATATGCAAGTCACAACTTCCCATTTTTGAAAAAAAAAATTATATATAACAGAACAAACTAGTCAAAATATTGGAGTTAAATTTATCTTTACCATTTTTTAGATCAATATATGGAATATGTAAATATATATTACTATTACATACATTACATATATATATATATATAATTTTTCTAGAATACAAAATCTAAAAATTGTTCTACTCATAAAATTACTCTCTATTTGGTATTATTTTCTATCAAGTTTGAGAAATTCCGATTCAAGAAATTACAAACCCTAAAAATTATTTACAATTTTTTTCCTTTTTTTTTTTGCTGCAAAAATAGCACAAGCTTCAAGTATTTGTGTGTAGAAATAAAGTATCTACGAAACTTACGGATACGTTCAAAGCGGCTCGAACGATATGAGTGGCCGACATTCGCTTTGTCGGTGGCTCATTTTTTTTTTCTAATTATAAATAAGAATAATGGTGGGTTTACGCGAATGATTGTAGATAAATTTTTACAAAAAAAAAAGAAAATAATAAAAATTGTTAAGATAGAATTTAAAATAATCCAAGGGTGTTTATATATGTGTAGGGATCACATGGTTTGATACAAATCCGCATTGGCGGTCCAATAATTGTGCCACTATTATTATTGCCTCGAACAAGACATGAGTTGGTTTCATGGTTTGCGAGCTCAAACGCAAAACTCTACAACACTTGTTATTTTATTTTTATTGCAAGCTCATCATATTCCACACATTGGCCCTTTTCTTCGAGAAATTATTGTCTCATTTGTGTATTTAAACATAGCGACAATAATATTTGATAATATTCTTTTTCGATATATGTGATATATATAAATTATAATTATGTAATATTTTTTTAATATCTACAGTTTTTACATACAAAAAGTAAATATAGATGTTTTAGAATAAAGCTTAACGCCATTTGGAGAGTTTATCATCATGCTAATTTATGTCATATAACATATTATTTTGTAATCCTAGCAGCAAATATCATTTTATTGATAATGACGCTATATCAGTATATCAGTTAAAGGTTAGAGGGTCGGATTCAATAATGGTTGAAGAGTGAATTTCAGAGCAAAACGCTTAGAAGTCACATCCTTACAAAACACAACCTTTGGATTACAAAAAAAAAAAAAAAAAAGGCAGAAGTTGAAGTCCTCACACTGTCATAAAAAGACTTCCAACAATGCAAATGCAGACGCAGATGCAGATGCAGATGCAGATGCAGATGAACGAAGCTTTTACCAACTCAGAACAATGGCAGAAACACATAAAACCCAAGAACCCTAAAATGTAAAAACCTATCCCGTGGAATGGATGATGAGCTCGGTCTTCTACTTCTTCTGTCCCTGATGATTGATGATGGTGATGATGATGGGGTAAGATTGTGTTGTTATGGAAACATTCTCTGTAATTGCAGCTTTTGAGTTTACGCAGAAAGGAGAAGCAATGCAGAGAGAGAGAGAGAGAGAGAGAGAGAGAGAGAGAGAGAGAGAGAGAGAGCGTGTGGGTTTACTAGGGCTATGCATCTCTCATGCTCATGTTCAGACTATTTCTCATGGTTCTTCTCCCCATTCCTGCATTGCCCTTTTGCATCATCGCTACAAATTCACCATAATCGATCCGTCCATCCTGCAAGAACAAAAAAAGCCAGAAACTTTTTCAGCAAATCCCCGAACAATTCGATGCCCTCAAGAGAATGGTGAAAAGGGTCCATGTACAGAGATTTTACGTTGTCTTGGTCAACTTCTTTGATTATGTCTTCGAGGAAGACATCGCTCATGCCATGTTCATCGCACGCTTGCTGTAGCTCATCAATGGTGATGTAGCCACTTCCGTCCTTGTCAAAGTACCGGAAGGCCGACACAAGATGCTCTTCCCTGTCTAGTTTGTTGAGATGGATCGTTGCTGCAATGAACTCTCCATAATCTATCGTCCCACTGTTGTCAACATCAGCCTAAAACAACAAAAAATATCATTCGAGAACCAGACATGGATTCGTATATTTTTATCTTGCCAAAGAAATAAGCAAGATTACCGCTTCCATAAGATCACGGATCTCTATATCCTTCAGGGTTGATCCGTATTTTCTCAAACCAGCTTTGAGCTCATCAAACGTGATTGCGCCACTGTTATCGGTATCCATTGCAGTAAACATTTCTCTTAAACCGGCAATCTCCTCCTCCGAGAGGCTCTCAGCTATCACCTAATAAGCCCGAAAAAAAAATATAAACAGACAGATTTAGAGAAGAGACCTGTGGTAAACTTATAACCCAACAATGGCATTTTTTGTTTTGATTGTTCATTGACATGGATCAGAGACAGAGACAAACATACTCACCCTTAAGGCCATCTTCTTTAACTTGTTCATTGCAGAGAACTGTTTGAGACGGGACAGTACAGCCGGATCAAGCACTCTATCTGGTGCAACCCCGTTCTCACAGATCCAAGGATGACCTGAAAAAAAGTGATTGATGCAACAAGATACATGTGAATAATCTCGTGGGCGGTCCCTTAAAGTAACCCATTTGCTCAGCTTCAGCTGTGAAAATGAAGTTCATGGCCATGAAAATGAATCACAAGTTCAAACAAAACTTCACATGATCACTACTTACGAAGGACTTCATGAGCAGTCAACCGTTCAGCGGGACTGGAGCATAACATCTTCCGGATCAGGTCTTTAGCACTGTCCGATATCAAAGGCCAAGGGTCTGACTCAAAATCGATATATCCCTTCAAGACAGCATCAAATATTCCTTGTTGTGTTTCTGATACCAAAAAAGACAAAAAAAAAAAACATGTCTCTGGTAAACCGTCTGTAAAACAATGAAGAGACGACACTTTTTAGGTAACGTATGTGATATCGAACGCACCAGCCCAGAAAGGCGGAACTCCACTTAGCAATATATACAATATAACCCCAGCAGTCCACACGTCTGCTTCTGGTCCATAATGTTTGAGCAGAACCTCGGGAGCAACATAATACGGACTTCCAACAACATCTGTGAATATCTGACCTGAAGTTGATGATCAGAACATTAGGAGAGAAACAAAACAAAACCCATGCTATGAATAAAAATCCTAGAACTTTAGCTAAACCTTTTCAGAGTCTACATATACAGAAAACATAAATACAGAATGGCATTTCCATAAATGCAAGAACAAGCAACTCATCAATCTAATGAACCTTTTTTTTCGGTTCTTCAGTTCAAGAAGATTCTTTGAACATTCCACAAAACAAAATTCAATAAGAAGGGCAGGATTGAAGTAACAAATCTGTGTTGTTACCTGGTTTGAAAAAGACGGAAAGACCGAAATCAATGGCCTTGAGGGAGAAATCATCATCCTTGTTAACCAACAAGAAATTCTCAGGCTTAAGATCCCTATGCATGACGCCGAGAGAATGACAAGCCTCGACGACCCCGACAATGATTTTGGTCAATTCAGCAGCTTTCCTCTCGCTGTAATGCCCTCTCTGAATGATCCTATCAAACAACTCACCGCCAGCACAAAGCTCCATCACAATGTGAACATACAAAGGATCCTCATACGCCCCTTTTATCGTCACAATGTTCTTGTGACCAGCTAAATGGTGCATGATCTGAATCTCCCTCCTAACATCTTCCACATCTTCCTTGGAGATCAACTTCCTCTTCGATATAGATTTACAGGCATAGTCAATGCCCGTGCCAATCTCTGTACACAGATAAGTTGTTCCGAACTGGCCTTGTCCTAGTTTTCGACTCAGCGTGTAGAGATCACGAATGCTAGGAGTCCTGTGACCAAGAACGTAGTAGGACTGGTTGTCCATGTTCCGCCTCATCATGGGTTCTTTTCTTGAACTAACAAGAGCTGAACTGTCGTTATCTTTCTTGGCAGCTTCTTTGGAGAACTCAAGATCAATGATCTGTCGGGCGTTTAAGGTTGTCGGAGATTGATCAGAGGAACCGTTGCGTTTGGAATTCTCCTCGGGCTGACTGTTGTTGCCCTCGTAGATTTTGTCCTTGAAAGATCCGCGGCATGAATTGCCCATGAAACAATAACAGAGCACCAAACCTATCTGGTATTGTCCACTTCACTTCCTTTTCGTCATCCGAGGAACTGTTCATAAATTTTCTCTGGAAACTAAAGGCGCTAGAAAGAAAACAGATAAAACCCCAAATCAAACCAAATCTCCGGAGCCAGAAACTTCAAAAAGCTCCAAACTTCATCAATCAGACAAGACAGATCAAGAAACCCACATCAGATCAAACATCAGAAAGCATATCCTTTATGTCGTTTTTCCAATTTCCACACGAAAAAAAAAATCAACGAAAAAAAATACCCAAGTTCGTGAAAACTCTATACTCGGAAACACCTTAAATGTCCACCGATCAGATTCCAAGAGAATCAACAGAACAATAAATGATCAAGTGGACGACAAAAAAGCATCTCAGATAACATAAACACGCGCCCAACCATCTAGGAATAGAAACACCAAGAACACGAAAACGGAGATGTTAGGATAAAAGGAGAAAAAGGATCCAGTACCAGTAGCAGAGGCGGCGTGGAGAAGAGGAAATGGATTGAGAATCTGATTAAAGGAAAAAGAATTTGAGGGACAAAAGACGAGGAGGAAGAGGAAAGCTCCGATACATACATACATGTATATATATATCTATTTTTTTAATGTTCGTTGTTTTGTATACGTTCAACCTATAGGTTTTTTTTTGGGTGAATGACGATGGTGCAAGGAAAGGTCTTCGTGCTTACCAGCTAACTTTCTCAACGCGGTTTCCAATGAAAAAAAAAATCTATTTTAGCAATAATTATTCATTTTATGATTGATTTGATCTAAGAGTGGTGGTTAGTGATCACCCACTTATAAAAGTTAAATTTTGGAGAAAAAAAAACAATTTTTAATATGTTTATTTTCATCACATAAATTAATGTAACTAACGTAATTGGGCAATTTTTAATATGTTTATTTAGTTATAAATCATCTAAAAACTAAGCAACATATGACCATTCATTCTCTCTCATATTTGACAAGTATTATAATTGATTCGGAAATTGTATGAAATTAGTTTTTTTTTTTCATAAAAGGTCGGAGAAAATTGTTTCTTTGGGGAAAACAGACAAAAAATCATTTAGATCCTAACATAAATATGAAAATTTCAAGTTTACTCTTCAAATTTTCGATTTTTTAATTAATGTTGTGGTTAGCAACTTTTTTCCCCCATGATTCCAATAAGTCAAAGCGACATGTATCCCAAATAAAAAAATATATATATTATGCTTCAACATATAAAAAGAGGAAGAAATGGTACCCACTTTCTTATATTAAACTTTAATTTTTATTTTAATCTGTGGATTACAGAGTCACACCAAACTCCATAGTGGAGACATATTATTATTATTATTATTATTGTTGTTGTTGTTATTATTATTAAAGCATCCTAGCCGAAAAATAAAATCTCGGAAGCCTGTGAACGAGTGAACGGGTGTCGTCCGTCAGTCATCTAACGCTGCTAAGGTCAACGCTGCCACGTGGAAGTGTTTGACTTTTCCAGTTATTCCTACGGTTCGTTATAAAGATCCATTGATGTGGAAGATTCTTCCCCCAAGGACTTGGGAGATTCTTCCTTTTTTTTTCTTTCTGAAATCGTATCTGCTTTCGTTACTACCAAACTGGATAAAATCCATTGATGACAGACAGAGAACCATCATCATCAATGCCGTAAGTCTCTTCTTTATACAGACAAGACCAAAGTCATTAGTAGTTTATTTACAACCTCAGATTTCGGATTGAAGTAAATAGATTCTTTCAATCACTATATCATCATCACCTGCGCTCTCAAGAACAACAAAAGTCCACAGAATATGGCGTCTCGTACCAGACAAGAACTCTGCCTTCCGGCCAAACGATTGCCTGTGAGTGTTATATAAATAGCTCTCCCTTTCGACTAGGCTTATAGTACGGTTGCATCCACGGGTTTGCTCGAGCCTCCACTGGTCGGACTACAGGTTCACAAAAAGTTAAAATCACTGACAAGATCACAGATTCTTGCTCTAGTTGGCTGTTTCTATGTCATTAAGTATCTTGCAAGGTAAAAAAAGATTTCATGGTGGTGATGATGATTTTGGTCATGCCCTTGAACACAGAGCTTGGGGGAATCAAACAAGAAGGCAAGAGATGGAAATATGAAGAGGAATCTACTTACAATCCAGCCAACACTTTGATGGTGTCATAGAAAAACCACTGCAAGGTAATGACAGGTCCAACAATGGTGATCCGGACAGGAAGACTTCTGGTGAAAAGATTGACGAACCCGATATTCTTCACAGCCTAAAAACTCAAATCACACCCAACATCAAATAAGATACGTTTGTGAAAGAATACAAAAAGTTCGATTTTGTTAACAACAATAGTAGAAGGAATACCTGCAAAACACTCTTGGCCTTGTTGTTGTAAAGAGATGAAACCACCACATCCGCAGGATTAGAGACAACAGTACCGACAGCTCCGGCTGTATAGCCAGCCAAGCATGTAACTCCAAGCTGTTGAGCTCTGGAGCAATCTTCCTTCCTCATACGCACGATGTTCCGATATATGAAGTCCACTGACTGCTCAAATGTCGAGAACATCACCATTGAAACTGCAGCCACAATTCAACATGAATTGGCAAAGGGATTCTTTCGGTAGAATTTTGTAAAGAAGTACACGACACCAACAAGTTTGCTATCAGACATCTTAAAGATTAAGCAATTGGGATCAAAATCTCTATCAATCTCTATTTCAAAACTAATGGCTGAGAGAAAACTGTCTGATGCAACCGACGTTAAGAAATGACTAACACCTCTCAACAGGCATTTCATCTACAGGTTAATTGCCTGAATCACAGTAAATATTACATGGGAGATTGCGACCCCAGAGTGGTAGAAGTCCCTTTTGAAAGCTGCATGGGAAAGATAAACTCTTTATCATCACTAATGGCAGCCAAGAAGAAGATCATATGGGACACTCTACCGAAGAAGGAGAAAAAGAAGAGGAAGATCATAACAGTCAGCACTGACTCACCCAGCAAGACCTTCAGTTCTATATAGTCTTGGAAATCCATCAAGCAATCCCTTTGCGAAATGGGGCTGAGTCTGAACTCGGACTTTTATGGCTTCAAAAGGGCACAGAGCCACGTCGGCAAATACTTGAGCAGACGCACTGCTGAGAAAATATACCAAAGTCCTTTTCTGGTCGGGCAGCACATTGCTGTAAAGCGTCTTGAAATATTCGTAAAGGCCGAACCTGCAGCCACCTTGAGCACCATATCCAAAAAGCTTCCCAGACCAACCTCTCCACAGGTAGGAATGGCCATGTTCTCTCAAGAGAGTAGAGAAACCTGAAGGCATGCTGCTATACTTGATGGGATTCACCTATTGATGACAGAGTGATCCTCAGTGACTGATTTATCATGTAAACTTTCAAGTTATCAAGAAAGATGCATGATTATTGAAGCAAAAGGCATTTTGTGAGAAGAAGCAACCGACGCTGCAAGAGCAGCTAAAATCATTCTGGGAAGATACTAGTTACCAGTCCAAGTTGAAAAAATTAGTACATAATCAAGAAATTTGATCAGTGAACCCAGAAAAAGAAAAAGGGGCAAAAACAAGCAACTTGATCCAGCAAGCCACGTGTTGCCTCTCTAGGACATCATGCTCCAAACATTTGGGAGCAGGAACGCTCCAGACAGATGACAAGTCAAATCACAAGAAACAGACAAAGATTCTAGTATCCAACAAAACAGGAGCGTGATATCTAAGATTCTGGGCAAAAGCATGAAACAAACCTGCATATTGACCTTCAAGACATCAAGAGGAGTTATAGCCAAATGGGTAGTTCCGGCGCTGAGCGTTCCTCCAATGGTGCAAACGCTATAATACCACGGAGAAGACAGCTCCTCGTACAACCTCCTCTTCTCCACCATTTTCATCTTCTAACAAAAACCCTGATTTCCAATAAACCCTAAAACACGATTCTCCCCCCAAAAAAACCCAGAAAACAGAGGAATACGCAACGGGTGATCAAAAAAACGCCATTGAAATCACGAGAAGACCCGCGTGGAAATTTGTTGATGTTTGTTGGCGATAGTTCTTCCACGTCTCAAAACAGTGCCAAAGCAAAATGGAAACACCCGCCCGCCTTTACTCCACAAGTTTCATGCTTTCGGGTACGAGTAAGCGGAAAAAGCGAATCTTTGGGGAAAAAAGTGTAAATTCGTTTTAGGTTTCATGCCAGGGAACGAATCTGCAGCTTCCATGGAATTCCCTTCCTCTTTAGGCCCTCTTCTTGCGTAACCAATGGGCTTCTCGAATATTTTGTCTTCCAATGGGCTTTATGGTCTATTAATAAATAAGTTTGGTTGAATTGTATTAAAGGACTCTTATTTTCTAATCTTTTGGAATTTACTCTCATCTTTTGTTTCGAAAACGAATGGTACCATGATCTAATCGTCCTACTAGTTTCCAACCCAACCGCGACCATCGTGCTACATTTCTGTTTCTTCGTGATAGGTTTCAGTCCTGTCCTCAACAACATCCTCTGCTCAGAAATCTTCTCAACCTGAGTTCATGGCATCTGGTGTTTTTCTGAAATCAATTGGCCACTTGAAGTCATCTCCTTGGTTCTTTCTCTGTCGGATCCAACAATCTGCGACTGCCTAAAACGACTGAAAATACCAAAGACCAAGCCAGAGACAACAAGTTTTGCCTCTATGTTTATGCATTTCCATTGTGCTTTATGGGTTGCAGTAACATCGTCTTTCTACCATTGTTGCGCAGAAATAAGCAACCTACTTTCCTTTCCACTCGGTTCAAGTTCAAACCTATATCCCTGGCGTGGAATTGGTGTCCGGACAACGAAAATCTAGTTTTATTCCACAAGTAAAGATCTGTGCCATGGGACAGAACAATGCCATAAAATGAAACAAACATCAATCGGAGTTGCTGCTGCTGACAAGCCTAGCACCGACCTTATCAAGCTTCGTCACAGAAGCAGTCGACTTCAAGTTCCCAGCTTTAAAGAATGCTTCGACCATTCTCTGTCCGATCTCCTTTCCCATCTCAGCTGAGTCGATAACCGCCACCGCTGTCGGCCCGGCGCCGCTAATGGTGCAGCCGAAAGCTCCGGCCTCCAAAGCCGCCTTCTTCACTGCTTCCATCCCAGGAATCAATGGCGCTCTCTTCGGCTCCACCACCTTGTCCGCTGACAGCGCCCTCCCGAGCATCGCCGCGTCTCCCTCCAGCACCGCCGCCACCAGAGCCGCCACCTGGCTACTGTTCCAGACATGGTGAACCATCGGAATCTCCGAAGGCAACGCTGCCCTCATCTTCTTGGTCGGAGCCTGGAACTCAGGGCTCACTAACACGAAGAACAGATCCTTCTCCGCGGGGAATCTCAAGGGTTTTAGGTCAAGTGGGTCATAGCTTCTGATCAGAACGAACCCACCCATGATCGCCGGCGCGATGTTGTCGGCGTGATAACCGGAGACTTTGGCTTCCGACTCCAGTCCGGCTAAGACCAGCTCTTTGTCACCCAGTTTCCGACCGAAGATCTCGTTCACCGCCACGGCGGCTGCGGCAGCGCTTGCGGCACTCGAGCCCAGGCCACTACCCAATGGGAGGCCTTTGTGCAGAGCCAGAGACAGACCCACCGATCGGATCCCGAGCATCTTCATGGTGGCAATGGCGGCGATTCCCGCGCAATTACGGAGAGGATCCGTGCTGAGTTTGGTGGTTGTGCCGGTGATGTCGGTGATAGAGATCTCGCCGGCGCGGACGCTGGGATCCACGCGGAGCGTGACGTGGTCACCGAGGCCATCGACGGCACAACCGAGGAAGTCAAATCCGGGGCCGAGATTGGCGACGGTCGCCGGCGCGAAAGTCTTGACGGAGGTGAAGACCGGTTCTGGCTCGGTGGCGACGAGGGTTTGTACGGACGCTCTGCATTTCAAGACGGAGACTTTAGCACAAATCGGCGACAAAGGGTTGGGTTTTGGTCGAAAATAAGAAATCGGCTTTGGGGGGGGCCGAGATTGGCGACGGTCGCCGGCGCGAAAGTCTTGACGGAGGTGAAGACCGGTTCTGGCTCGGTGGCGACGAGGGTTTGTACGGACGCTCTGCATTTCAAGACGGAGACTTTAGCACAAATCGGCGACAAAGGTTTGGGTTTTGGTCAAAAATAAGAAATCGGCTGGGCGGGAGACTGCAATCCGACGGCCGCCATTGATGGTGGGGGAGAGAAGACAGAAAGAGCAAGAAGAAGATGAATCCAATCGACTAATTGTGACAACAGCACTAACCTAAATGCTTTCGTTTTGAGTTGATGATGACGGCGTCTAAAGCAAGATGAACATTTTCTTACAGTAGGTTGAACCGGACTTAACCGGATTAAACCGGTCCGAGAACAAAACGGATCAAAACAAGAACAAGAACAGGGAAGATTTCTTCTTTAGTGTATGACAGTTTGGTTTTACAGTTACAAGTACTTCTGCAGTAATTTTATGCTTCTAGTTTCAGTTATGTTACAATCTGATCGGTATGTGCAATAAACAAAATCGATTTTAACCTACTAATCATGAGGAACAAATGATCAGAGCAGCTTCTGTTCGTTGTTCAAGACGTTCTTCTGCATCAATGTTGTGAAGCTATCCATTGCAAAGGTTGATTCTTTCCGGTCATATCAGCTCGGATCTGTTTCCCGAAACACTGTAACCATTCGAAGATGATTCAGTCCGTTTCCTCTTCACCCTTTGCTTCACCTCTTCTTCCTTCTCATCCACAAAGTCCACAAAAGTCTGCAGTGTTTTAGAACAAGAACTTGTTGCTGACTCCTCGGGGGCATGATGACAGAAGTCGCGAACTATCTTGCCAAAGTAGATGAAGAGAGCGATGAAACAAGCGATCCCACACATGAGGAACAAGCCCCAGAAGCTATCCAGGTTGAGCTGTTCTGAATCAACCGGTTTTGAGCCGTGCGGGTTACTGCAGTTAGATTTGGACAGCCATTTGTCGTGGATCTTCTGAAGCTCCCCGCTTTCAGACAGGCTCAGGATCGCTGTCGACATGTCAACTGCTAACGGAGAGTCTCTAGGGAAAGCCTTCATAAAAAAAAAACCCCTCGAGGTTGATCAGAGAAAAGGACAGGACAGGAAGAAAAGATTAGAAAGATCACTTTTTTCACTACTCACAAATCCCCAGCCGCTTCTGGTGAATTCTTGTCCTCTAATGGCGAAGTCACAGTAATCAGAGAGGAAGAGATCGACGTAGGGACGTTCCTCGACGATTGCTGCAACAGTTCCGTTTCCAAGAGCATCCGCAAATTCCTCGGGAGAGCCGAGGGGAACGAGTCTAGATTTCGCGATGTTCAGTTCATCAACCAAGTAATTCTCGGCGAAAGAACCTACCTGGAAACCAATACGGCCCGTGCTGCTTATGAGCGTGTCTACTCCTTTTATCGGCGATTTCAGCTGTTCGACTGTAAGAATTGACGTAAGGCTGGCCGTGTAACTTGAGGTGAGGATCAGAACCACGAAAAGCCAGATGAGTAGCACCATTCGTCCGAGAGTACTCACTGTATTCTCTCCTGAAAATTACGACGGTGTCAAGGTTTCCGAAAATGGATTTCAGAATTCAAAAACTGAAACTTGGTAAGATTTTTGTCAGGACAAGGACTTACTGTGGGAGAAAAACATAGTTGAGAAGCTGAACCTGAAACATAAGAACACACACAGATAAGTTGCCTGCAGGACTCTATACAGAACATCAGTACAGATACTTGCAGTTCTGTTAGTTTGGGTTTTAGCATTTTGACTGGCACACTACTAACCACAAGATTGTGATAAATTGGCGCCTTGGAGGTCCCCGGAAATCGTCGTTCAACCTATGTTCAAGAATCCATATAACTGCTCCGACGATAATGAAGAAAGCTGCAGTTACAGCCCACATTCCGGGGGTAAATGGCCATAAGAACGCCCAAGCATTTCTATTCAGCTTTGTGACGGGCGCAACCACGACAAGCCCCGACTCTATGTATGGCTGAGTGAAATCCACCGCCTTTGTTCGTTTTGTGACAATGGCTGTGTCACCTACAACTGCATCAAAGTCCTGCAAGAAAGAAGAAAAAGAAAGAAAGAAGAAGAATATGGATAACCATAACAGTGGATAGTGATTGCTCCCCATATGGTATTTTTCACATGCCGGTCCGTACCTCCTTGGTGATCTTATTGACGAGTTCGTTGTAGTTTGGATTCTTCTTACCATCTCCAAACAGGATGAACTCATGAGGGGCAGCGTAAGGAAGCAGTTTTACCGCTGCTTCAAATACATCTATGCAGTACCCTTTCACTTCGTTGCTGCTGTTGACCCTTTGTACGAAATCTTTGAAACTCGCCCGGTTAGGAACACCGATTCTCAACTTTCTCCCATTGTTAGGGAAAACCCATCCACGAGGCTTCAGAGATGTTCCACCAGGCCAAGTTACATTGTTCAGATGTTGGTTTGAGCTCGAACGGTTAGGAGGGAGGTTGTAAAATTGTTCAGGAGGCAAGACAGAGAGCCCGGAATGATTGGACCAGTAACCTATCTGGCGAAACCCATCGTCAAGGACGTTGATAATGTCGTAGGAAGGCTGTACCATTGATCTGTCCGTGTTGAACTGTATCCGACCAGTTAGACCAGACATCTTTGTGTTCAGAACATTCTTGAGTAGTTCCGGTCCTTGATCAAAGATGCTCAATGCAGCTAGATTCAGTGCTCCACCCTCCAGTTTGTTCAGATTCGTGTCGTTGGAGAAAGAAATGTTACTTCCAGCTTCTAGAAGTGTCTTGATAGCCCGAGCAACGATCCAGACAGTATCATAGGCATAGAGGGCATTGACATTGAACCCTTCAGATCCGTTACTCAACTTGTTCCACCGTGCCATGAAATCCCTTTTCCTACTCGAATCAAGCGTGTGGAGACGAAGTGTTAGAACTCCTCTAAGAGCTATGGCGGTCTTAGAAGGCAATGGCCATGATGCATCTAGCAGAGAAGACAACCAATTCGTGGCGATCCAGACATAGCCTTTCTCCATCATTCCGAGCCTATGTGCTTCCTCAAGAATCAATGTCCCTCTCCTTACGAAGGTGTTTACAATGATTACTCGGGATTCCATTCGTTGAATCTTTCTTAACTCATCCCTGATACGAGAACCTGCACTCCTTAAATCAATTGGCAGTACCGCCTTGTAAGAAATCTTGGAACGTCTCTCTGCCAGCTCGTCACCTAACGTAGTTATACTGTTTCTGCTGCCATCGTCATCCGTATACACAGCAATCACGTCTGACCAGCCGTAGAAACTTATCATCTCTGCGATGGCACGCATCAGAAAAAGATCACTAGGAGCAGTTTGGACAAAGTAAGGGTATTGAAGAGCCGAGAGGCTAGGGTCTAGAGCCGTGAATGACAACAATGGAACATGAAGCTCGTTGGCAAGATGTGACAGAACATGAGCCATTATCGATGTCTGGGGACCGATTATGGCCACAGTATCAGTTTCCATGAACTGCAATGCTGTGATCACAGGAAAAGAACAAATGGGTTTCAAGATCAAACAAAAAGAAAGAAACTTTAAGCAAACACTCAAACAAGATCCAGGTGAGCAAGAAGAGGATAACAAGATGAACACAGATATTCTCACCGCCCATTAAGCCGAGGAATCCACTGGTCTTTCCATCATGCAAAGTTATAGCCAATTTAGAGCCACCGAAGAAGGTGGGATCAGAATTTACATCGTTCTCAGCTGCTTTCATGGCGATATTAGCAACTATACCATCCTTAGTGCTCAAACTGCATATAGCTCCAACATTAACAACGTGAGGCCGAGAAGCTGCTTCTGAAAGTAAACCAGCACTAAGAATGACGAGGCTGGAGAGAACTGCAACCGGAATCATGGTTTGGATAAAACAGTTCATGAAACAGCTAGTGGTCAACAAACGATTAGATGAAGCCTCGAGCCATATATAGAGATTGAAAGGGCTCGACAAAAGGTATGCCTGTAAACCAGAAACGTGGAAAATCATTAGCAGGTTCAACCAAATCCAGATGAGTTTTTCCACAGAAGAAGATAACAAAGACTAGACAGACAGAGATTTTCTCAGGAAGAACAGCAAAAGTTTATCAAAGACAAAAACTTTGGGTTTAACATAAACGGAACAAAGGCAAGTAGCTTTCGCACCAGTGATGAAAATCAGAACTGAAGAGTTACGAGGAACAGACAGTTACCTCAAACACGGAGCAAAGGCTTTGCTAAGGGATTAGAGGAAGAAATGCCAAACCCGAAACCAAAACATCCTGAAAAAGAGAACAAAAAGGAGATTCGTGACAGGAACACAACACAAGCAAGCGAAATTAAGGTATAATGCGTAAAAGGAGGATACCCCAAGAGACATGATTCACAAGCAAAAGAACATCACAGGGAAAAGATGAGAGCTTTTTTCAAATGCCCATGAATTAAAGAATGGTGGGAATACTTCAAGATTTGGAAAAGGTTTCAGCTTGGTGAATCAGAAATCCATGAGGGGAGGGATCAATTTCAGCCCGGGAAAGTTTGAGGACAGAATTTCCTGGGGCTCTTAGGAAAACTTGGCAACCTTTTTCTTCCGCGTGGGAAGAAGGCGTGAGGAAAGCGAACGTGGAGACAGACTACAGGTGAAGAGGAAAAATCATCAAACCAATAATGAACAACAATGCCTCTTTTCTTTTGTTGTGGAATATGAGACGTGATTCTCTCCTCGCAAGTTGATTCCCCACCAAAAGCTATGAAAATTGTGATATGAATGGAGGAAGATCG